TATTGCATATGATACTCCTAAAGTGATTTGTAACCGACTACAAAAAAGGAGGAGGTTCTCAATTCGACTGTATTTTTTAAATTTTTTTGCTATACGTTGTTCAGATAATTGATCACATCCAGATCATCGATCATAAATTCCTAGAGTCAGGACATAGCTAGCTAATGGAGGTAAATTCTATGCACAGCTCAATTGAAAATTATAAAAATTACTCCACTGTTTACTCAATGCAAAACATTATTTCAATTTTTAAAAATGCCCGGAAAAAACAAATAATCAAAGTCGGCATCCAAGAAATAGTGAAAAACTACCTTGTCTAAGAATTTTAGACTCTTCCGTAAAAATGTACATCTTTGTAATATGTAATGTACTTCCATGTACTCCCATGCCAATTATCTTGTGTCAAACTAGGGAATTCCCTGTACTACGGATAAGAGAGCAACGGAATTCATAAGTTCGTTTCTCAAATTGTCCTCTAAAGCGCCCACGGTTCAAACCGCAATGCCACTGAGGTCTTCATTGACAGATAAATTCATAGAAATGCATGTTTTAAATTTCACTCTATAGATTGTAAAACTGACAATCTTTTGTTTTGTGACGCCTGAGAGGCTATTTGGTGCGATTTTTTTCTATTAACAAACATTTTTCTAAAACAAACATGTTTTTTTCTGAACCGCATGTAGATAAAATGTTCCATTAAGTATCATTCGTAAATCTGTTAGTACGTATCGCATAGATTACATTAACTTTTAAGGTAACTACTGTACCATTCAGGTATAGAGTTAAAATGTATTTGCATTTCTCTCCTTTAATTATTTATAACAGCGCAGGCAAAACCACAGACCATAGCTTAAGCGTTAGCTTAGCAAAAACATTCAGGTCAAATAACGTATCATATTGTTGTGTATCAGTTAATGCCAAAGATTATGTAAATAATGCTATACATTTACAAAATTTCTAGTTTTAAAAGAAAAGCCAGCCCTTTCTTGTATATTGTTCTTTTGATATCCCTATAGTTGTGCTATAAAGATTAATACCGTGTGTACTGTTAAAACCAAGTAACCAACAGTACTGTTCACATACTTCTTAGATTTGCAGAAAAATTAAAAGACAAACTGACCCTTACGCAACTTTAATAATCAATATATTAATCAAGTAGACTGTAAATGCTGAATCACATCCCTAAACAAATATTTTATAGATTTCCATTTTTAAACCATTTATCTCAAATCAGCAACTTCGGCAATGATGTGATTGTACCTTTAAGCAGACGATATCGCTATTTCAATCTCTGGTACTTACGCATAATTTCGTTGAATATGATAACTATGGTTAATTTTTATTTGGTTTTTACAGTTTACAAACTTAAACACATTTTGAACTTAGTGCATTTTACGACATGCCGTCCTCCGAGCCTTAGAATACGATTCAGGGCTACGGGACGCGTACAATATTATACATATACTTCACGCCTTTTTCCCATCGGGGTAGGCAGACAACGGTCTTCCACTTGCTACGGCCCTGACACACATCTTTCGCCTCATTCACACACGGTCGCCATTTAAGGGTGCTCTAGACCTGGCCCGTCTATAGGATGGCCTCAATTTGGTCATGGTAAGTTCGCCTTGATCGGCCCGTACCAGTCTGTTTCGTCAATCTTCTTTCATTCATTCTCCCTCACTACATCTTCTTCCACGCCGCAACGCTCTCTTGTCACATTGTTCCGTAATTTATCCATCAGAGTCAAGCCGCGTATTATACTTGTCTGACGTAACGTGTTGTGATTCGTCATGACTAGCGTTCACATTTATATGTCGTGTTCTGACGTCTTCTGACGATACTTTCAATTGATACCGTTGTGGCTCTGGGAGAGTTTATTATATTATTTCAATAGAGTTTATTATTAGAATATTTTCGCAATGTATTCTTTTGAATCATCTAATTCTGATTATGAACTGTGCTAAAAAAAGAAAGAAAAAAGAACATCCAGTGAATAAATTATAATCTCAGTACAGAGTACTAAAAAACCGACCACAAAAGTACGTGGAACTACACGTATTTGCCAAGTTTTATTGAAATATCCCCTAGTTGGCCACTATACAGGACTTGACACAGGAGATAATAAAAATCGGCTCTGACTACTCAAAGTATATTGAGAGAGAAAAACGCCTTGAATTGGAGAATAGCAAAACCAACCATTAAAATAATTGATCCTTAAGTAAAATTGAGGTGCTATTTATAAAAATTAAAGTTCATGCGTGATCAGTCTCCCTTAGACGTAAATGATTTTCTTCAAATGAAATGGGACCACTATGGAGGTTCCCTCTTTCCAACAAAAAAAAGAATCATGAAAATCGGTTCACAAATACCGGAGTTATTGCGTAACATACATACAAAAAAACATACAGTGGAATTGAGAACCTCCTCCTTTTTTTGAAGTCGATTAAAAACAGGCTAAAGGCGTGTTCGACAGTGTCGTTAAGAGCTTGAGAGCGATGATGAAAGATTTCATAAATATTTCATAATGTCTAAGGCACTATTCGATTCTGACGCGTCACAACACAGCACTGGCGCGTGCATACTTGTCTGATTTGACGTGACACGGTCGCTTCTGATGCGACACAACACAAGCCGTCACGTCAGATTGCGACACACTAATATAAGTTTAACCATATTAAATGTGCGAAACTGATACCATTCTGAAGTGTCACGACACGAAACGTCAGACAAATGAAAATCCGGCTTTACTCCAGCTATAATTCTCAAAGCTATTCTACTGCATTAATTCCACTTTCGTGCTTCTTCTGCCAAACCCAACATTCATTGTCGTACACGAGTGTAGGAACCGGCACCCCCTCGTGCACAGCCAGCCGGCCTTTTCAAACTCTTTCCGGATATAGCATATTATATTACAGCATACAAATAAAGGTGTGATTTTACGGGACGCATCGTAAGGGGCGCCTCGTGGTGGCACAGGAACGTGCCACCAGTTCGACTCCGGTGTGCGCCCTCGAATAGGCGACAGGCGAACTCGCGCCGTAGCGTCGCGATTCGTACCTAAGTTAATTACGATGAACGAAAACTTAACGTATACTAGGCGAGATCGTTTTCATCCGCTCACTGAGTCGCGTTCCCTTTCTCCGCAGATTTCATTTCTAGAACAAAAGATGTAATTAACAGAAATATCAAGACGGAAAGTTACGAGATAGCGGCGGATGAGGACGAATGAAAAATCACCCACCGGAATGAAAAGAGGCAAGCGACGTAACGTCAGAAAAGCTGGAATTGAGGAATTATCATCATCGACCTGACACTGCTGGTTAAGTATCGTCTCTAAGGAGAGAGTTTAGGTTATAGTCCGCCGTGTTGGCCCCATGTGGGATTTCACACGTTCCAAGGATTGGTAACCAGTCTTTGAAATGAAGATTTCATTACGTTGTTTTCCTTCGCCATTGACGAGAAGTATTTCTGCTAACCGTTCACAAACAACAATGGCGAAAACATTGTTAAAAGAATTCATTTAGCGTCTTCAAACGCCGCAATTACAATTTGAATATAATAAATTAATTATTAGAATTTTCAAATAATACTAAAGGCCTGTCGAAGTCTGCAAATAAATCATAAATTGAAATGAAACTCGAATGACTAATTGGTATGTAACCGGACTGATCTACATCTGGCAGTTTCTCTCTTTCAGATAGAAACTATGTTGAGCGACATCCAACCGCTAAAAAGATATTTTCAATACCTACGAATAGATTAGTCCACAACAAACACACAAATGTACTGATTGAACCGATTTGCAATATGAGATTAACTACTTTATTCCATAAAATAAAGTACATAATTCCTTCTCCAAATATATCACACGAGAAACTGGTAAAACATAATAATACCATTGGGTAAAACTCATAAAAATGTTCCTGATATAAAGGATAGATAGCTTGTCTCACAAAAAAAAAAATTTGTTCCCGAGTTATCAGGGCTCGGTATGTAATAACTCAGTTTTCTTTTGTAATGACTTAACTTCATGCCTTTGGACCATGCAATATAAAAAATATTTTCTTCTGAACTTTAGTCACGTCACAAACTGGCGGCACCATTCAGCTTCTATTAACTCTTTTTAAGACTTCTGTACTTTATTTTGATGTAATATTACACCGAAAATAAATGTTATTCAATTACATAAAGTATAACCTCCAAAACTTCAAACTGAAATATATTTAATTCTAGACTTCTCAGAATAGTAAACCCAAAACCATCGAGTATATAACCAGAAATAGAGACGAAATGTCATTTAGTTTGTTTGAAAACTATTCTGCCAAATCATTACTGTGACAACTACGCTCCGATTGGCCAGCCCGAATTCGAAACAATTGACGAGTGTCGTCAATTGTTTCACTTCAAATCGACCAGTTTAACGTGAACATTGCTATAATGAACGAAAATATAAAAATTACACATTTCATATTTAATTACCGTTTGTTTTGTAATTAGACGTTTTGCTCTTATTCCCACACCACCGAATGAAACAGCTCCCATTGTTAGAGATATCTTTATTACAATAAATACAGAATATTTTAGGAATATTCAGAATCGTACACACAGGTCAGTTGTTGGCGCTTTACTATGTCATCATTCTAATTTGTGATATCAGCGCAAACGAAAGTTGATATTTAAAAGTGGTATAAGGCACATTTGCCTGATGAGTTACCAGAGATGGATGGCCCTTATTTCGACTCTTTTTCGGGTCATATACTCGACACACAAAACCAAATTTGTTCAGGAATTAAATCTCTTTATTTTCACATATTTTTCAAAAGCGACGCATACGAATTATGCCAACAAAAATTTATATGAGAGTTTGCCATTGTCCTTTAAGTAACTTAGAAATCAAAACCATAAATATTTGCCGCATGCATTAAATATAACATAACAACATAGAACATAACACTATTCACATAGGATTCTAAATTGCATCCTGTTTAGTAATGAAGATGGTGGATACGTACCAACGTCATCAGACTTGACCGGTTCATTCCAGTGCTGCTTGTCCGAAGTACTGAATAGTATGAAAAACAGATTCGTGAAGAAGTAAATGCCTGCTGCCACGAAGAATACTTTCCTCCACTCCGATGCATCTTCCTGAAATATAATGTTTTTATACAAAAATAAATGATGTCTAAAAATACATTTTACACCTCTGAACTTGTCTGAAACAGGGAATTTTTGCTCTTTGTAATGGAAGTAATGGTAATTTCAGGGTTTAAAATTTGTTTCATAAAATGTTTGAAAAGGCATTTTCGTAGTAGTAGAGCTCCCTGTGAGTTAGTCCAGGGAAGTACTGCCACCTTAGTTATTTCTGCCGCCATGCCGTAATGTGAGCATTAATGCGTTCCGATTTTGAAGGGTAAGGGTGCTGGTGAAATTACAAGCACATGGGACTTGTCAACTTGTCTCAGAGTGAGGGTGTCGCAGTGGTAGTGCGCCTCAGATCTTTGCGAAAGCTCTGAGTGGCACTGCAACTGTTATGGATAGGCCCACGACTTGTTCGTTTCGTCACTTGGCATAATATAAATTTAAATAAAACAAAACATAGTGATGAAATAGGAATATAAGGGGAGAGGAAGGCCAAAGAAAATATGGTTGTATGAAGAAAATATGGAAGTAGAAGAAGTGATGAACCTGAAGGAGAGACCTGCACGTTGAAACATATTTGTACAGAGAAGACTCGTGCCCAGTAGAGGAACGTACAATTTTTGATGATAATTAATTAATTAAAATTATTATTCATTAAACTAATTATTAAATCTCCTCGAGTAGTGCCCACCCACTGAATAATCGACGTCATGTCGTCTCTCGTAAATCTTTAAAAGATATTAGAATAGTGAATGGTATATCCTGAAAAATATTAACCTCATCTTTGATAATCAGGCCACAGACGAGCGGTGCGATGATGGAGATGATGTTGGCCAGAAAGTTGGTGATGCCCATCAGGCACGCGCTGAAGTTTGGCGCCAGGTCAATGTGCACCAACTGGAAATAAAAAAGGCACAGGTTAAAGGCTTACAAGTAATTAATAGATCCTTTGGAGTGCTAGTATTCACTTTTGCCACCAGTAGACATGTTATTAGACAAATTCACAATATAACACTATGACAAGCAAATCTAACTGTAAGATTGTGACCCACCTATAAATTTTAATCAGGTCAAGCAATTATTATAATATTTAATATACCGACCAATTCTCACGAACCGGGCTCCCCATACTTGGAGTTAACATAAGAGCCTACATTTCCATTTGATACCTATAAATACCCCTGAATTATAACATACTGGCATTGTGTGTAATGTACTAACGAGATATCCAGCGAATGTTCCGGCGTTAATGCCTACAGCGAGTGTGAGCATCACTACCGCAAGTGTAGTATTGCCAGATGGAATGTACGACAAGCCAATTAGTGCTACCGCTGGTCCCCAGAGTCCTGTAATATATAAGTAAATTTATGTTTTTCAAACATGCTCGGAATTACTTTCAAACAACGAAGACGGAAAGTTTGTCATTTATTGACCCTCGCGACTTCTTCCCGCTTCTTTTTATTTGCAACTTCAACATGAACGATTCGCTCTGGGCCTTTTGGAGGGAAAAGTGTCGTTTTCATTTTGACTTTCAATTATTTTGTGAAATCTAGTTTAAAGTGGAATAGGATAGTGCTATTGTGCCTTAATCGAAGATTAAAACGCGAAATTATACGAATCTCGAACTAAAACACCCGTATCGGCCCGTTTTAAGGAATCCCGAGTCAATCCAAGTACGCCGCCTCAAATTGCCTATCCTCTTTGTGGCGGCCATATTTACAGAAACATAATTAAACTTCATGTTTAGGCTGATGGCTTTGCCAAAGCCTTAATAAATAAAAACAGATCACATGAACTATGTAAACAGGCAAAAGAAAAACTCATAAAGCCAACTGTCCAGTGTTTGTAATTGCATAGATTTAAAAGTTTAAAACAGCAGACAGTAATGGACTTTGTAGTTCTTGGCTGGAAAGAAGTCGCACGGTCCATAGATGATAAACTTTCCGTGTTCGTTTTTTGAAAATAATGCAAACATTTCCGAGAATGTTTGAGAAATAATAATATTCTATATTATAGAAGTAGGCTTAGAATAATAACGCATAGAAACCTAGCCCGCACACGCTAAGTGAGGCAAATTGAAGCGCTCCCAAAGAGCCTACACGAGCGGGCGGGCCTTCATTGCTCAAGGTCAACTTGCACCGCGAACAGCTCAAGAATTTTAGCTAAAAATGACAAAATGTGCGGTAAATGAGTGTAAAAATATGTCAGACAAACATAAAATAAATACTAACATCATATTCCACAAGGAAGTAACGCGTTTCAACTTGTATTTTTATATAAATATTCACTAAAACCGAAAATTAATTTCGTTGCAATAAGACACGAAGATGCCTACATGAATTTGATTTTTGCCTCACTTGTGACAGTTCGTTTGATATAAAACTATCATTCTATGCGTCATTATTCTAAGGAAGTAGATATAAAGGCAAATTCATATTAATATCATTTCAGTTACAACTTCCTCAGTAACTTTATCTATTTATATATAACCGTTAACAGATTCTAGTTGTGGTAAAGTTAGCGAAATTTAATATTGGAGATACTTTGATAGAATTAAATTACAGATAGGATATATTAGATAATATTATTTTCAATATAATTGTAAACAATATTAAGTACCAGAAATCGTCACGTCATCTTTAAAAGACTTTTTTTACCAATACTGTTGAAGAGCTTCCTGGTGTTGGAGACACTAAGCCAATTCTTTCTGATGATCAAATCTGTCATAGCTCCCATTATGAAACTAAGCGCGTACATCGACAAGTACGGTAAGGATGAGAGGACACCGTTCTGCGAAATAAAGAATAATGTGTTAGTTATGCACTAAAATTTCAGAGTTCAGGAAATGAGTAAGATTGCATTCTGCAGCGTACTACTTGCTAGCCAAGTAGGTTAATTGGTTCAGGCGTCGTGGCAGCGCGTAATCACGTGATTATGCTAACAAGCTGCATCTTTTGGGTTTTTAATTATGTTATTTACCTTTGTCAACTTCATATTGAGGACCTTTGCCATGAAAGTAGGCATTTCAGTCATGAGCGTGAAAAATCCCCAATTCTGCCCGCAATGGGACACGATCACGGCCCAAAATGGAAGAGACGTCACGATTTTGCGCCACGGAGTTGGGTAACGCTGGAATTAAATATTGAGCTACAGATATTTATAGAAACCTCGACGTTAAACAGAGTCTATCAACTTCACTGTAAACAGGGAAAAAAGATGCTTGTAAACTGTTAAAACTTGTTAGGTACTTTACTTTATGTCCACCAGATCTTCCTAATGATTTCTGTATATACTGAACTTCAGCAACGGAAATAATTTTGGAACTCTCAGGAGAAGCTGAACCAAATATCAAGTAGGCGATCGTCCATAAAATTCCCAGGACTCCGTTCGAGTAAAATATCATTTGCCAGCCGTATGCGGTCGCTATGAACCCGGATGCTAGTAGCTGAAGGGCTATACCAAGTTGACTACCTGCAAAAGAAAAATAAATTAAACGTGTACAAGAACTTTACAATTTAATTCCACTTTCACCATTCCTCCTTCGGTCAATATGAAAGTCCTAAAAACTCCATCCTTATGCCACTGATATACCAATCATTCGCATGAAATTATTTGCTTCCTCCTTTTCTTGTGAGTGTTTCTCGAAAACTAACTACACTTTGGCTATCGGATGAGGTTGTGGCCAAGTGTGTATCCAATTTACATTAAAAAAGAATAATGCTAGCATGTGACGTTAGGCAGAATTCATTTTTGTAAAGGGGAAAAGAAGAAATTAAATCCTTAAGATTTCGCGAAATGGCGGAGCTCCAAAATGTCTAATATGGCTTTGATCCTTTGAGTGTTTCTATCAGTGCCTATTATTTCACTTCAATAAACAGAAACAAAGAAAAAATCTGGTAGCATCATAAAAGGCTACCAAGGAAAATCAATGTTCGCTTTAATACAGATCAAGTTTCCCAAATACAAAGTAGATTGTTATCTCTGTGCACCGTAAGAAACCCATCGTTGCTTGGATACAATCAACTAGAGTTGTAAATAAATTGATTTTTGTCGATGTTTTGTGATATTATTGTTAATAAACCTATATATTTTAACAGATTAGGCATTTTATTAATGTTTATGTATGTTACCACGAGCTTATAAACGATATTTTAAAATGTTTTTAAGCATCTGATCGTGGATTTCGACTAAGCAAAAATGGCAAGCTAAGCAAGTTTTTTGTATTTACAAAACAATGTTTGCCAAGTTTAAGCAACGAATAAAATTAAACTTTGATTTTCATTCGTAACATTTGCTTTATAAATCCCAGTCATAGACCTGACAAAGTGTTTCTGAACTGTAATTTTCATAAAAATCATAACCTTAATAGCAACTTCCTCGGCTGGTTAGCCCCTCTGGATAGTATAACTAATAAACTAACTTTCTAAATTGTTTCGGGTCGCTGGATACATTATACAAGGTGGCCTGTAAACAGTGATATTCATGAGAGTGGCAGATTTTACTACTTTTGTTAGGAACATTTATTGAAGATTCACAAAAAAAATCAAGTGTACATTTCTTACTAAGTGATGTAACGTATATCGGTCTGGGATGCTGAGCTTTTGAAAGCAGGACTACAAAGGTTTATGTCTACAAAACAGTAATTAGGCCAATCTAAATCGAAATAAGATCTGCTCGACTTCGCTGGCTAGGATATGCGGAAAGAATGGGAGAAAATCGAGCTGCCAAAAGAGCGTATTTGGGGCAACTATCGGATCATCGTACAGTGAGCCGTCCTAGATATCGCTGGAAGGATGAAGCCAAAGACCTAAAGGAACTTAATGTGTCCGAATGGTCGGAATTGGCAAAACACCGACAGAAATGGCATACTTTGGTATCGGAGGCTAAGATTTCTTTTAAACCTAACCTAATCAAACCTAATCGTGTATTTGCAATAAACATCCAAACATATCCTAAAAGAACAACGGTTCCATTATAATTTGGTTCTCGGTGTAATGAAAATTCGAACAAACGTTATTCCGGAAAAAAAATCGACTTTGTGATAGGTTACCCTAAGATCCACTTCGGGTCGCTGAGCAAGGGAAGTAAGTACGTAAGTAATTATTATTTCAAAATTATAATAACATAAAAAACATGCACAGGGCTGTGCTGCTGTTGATTGTTAAGTAGCAACTAATATGGACCTACTATTTTCAAGGGAAAAATAATCTACCACTTGCCATTGCCATCATTGGCCGTCAAGAGTGAAGCTCTTGCTACATACTCGAGGAGTTGACGTGTTAGATGAAGATGATTCACGCAACAACGTGAAAACTTTCGGGGCTCTGTCTAGTGTGTGCTGGACCATCATGAGCTGAAAGTTCAATAGCATTACTGCACTATTATCTCCGTATATCTTCCGTATACTATTGCAACCTAAATAATACCCGCCACGTGTGATCCTCATAATTTCGAAGAAAATCTCATCTTGTTGAATCCATGTTCCCATGGAAGTTTTCCACAGGACTGAACCATTTTGACTCGTGGTATCCTGTGAGATACTTGACAATAATAATATTAAGCTGTCATTCATTAGAATATTATCCTCTGAATACGGGACATCCTACATAAATAGTATAAGTTGCCCGGTGTCCGTTCCTATGAGGAAGTGATTGGGTTCAGGGTGGGGTCAACCCCCGTGTACCCTCTCGGGAATTTTAGTAATAGAAGCAACTTCTTGGGAAGAAAAACCGTCAATTGGTTTATGTACTTGCTACAAGACTCGTTCAAAATAAATTTTATTATTTATCTTGTTAGCACTTTTAGTAATACTGCTGCTTCCTTCATAATGCATAAGGCAAAGAAATGGATTATACTACTGTTTATCTAAAAATACAATTCGAGGCTATTCATGGCGAGGATTAATAGGCATGTCTTGGACAAACTTGTACCATTAGCGGACACATCATGGTATAAAATTAGATGAGATTAAGGCCAAACATGAGTCGTGGATACACTATTCTTGTTGGCAACAAATAACGTGACAGCCTTATTGCAGGAGTTAAAAAATTACTTGAACCATTTAACTATGTTCGATTGCACAACGGTAATATTTGTGGGCGATAGATGGCGAAGTTCCGGGTTATAAGACTCAGATGAACGATTTATCCTTATTATCATAAATGATTTGCATGTGATAGCTCTCGAAAACTCTACAAATCAATAAGTAACACAGAAGGTGTATTCTATTTATTTATTTATTTATTTTATTTACAGTATGTACTGCTTACAGTCAACCCAAACGCAATAATAAGACTTAAAGCTAAATAAACAAGCAACATTAAGTAAATTACAAAAATGAATAAAATACGAAAATTGATAAAATTATAAATACAATACCATAGACATTTAAATTATTACAGATTAACATTAATGAAAAAATAGATAAAATCCATTTGTTATTACATTTTAAACTAACACATAATACCTATTACTTAATACTGCTGTCTCCGATCAAGGACTCCAGATAGCGTCCTGCGGAAAACATTAATTTTGATTCCGAGCATGCAAAAAGATCCAACGAGGATTCAAAGTTAAGCAACTGATTTAGATACTTAAATGCTCGGGGCAGAGGAGCCATCTCACTCTCTCTACATCGTGTGATAGGTACTGCAAATAACATCATTCTATGAAGGCGCACCAGATTAGTTCTAGGTACCATAAAGCCTACCCTGGATAACAAAAATGGGATAATAAAAAACATCTTCTTGTATAAATTTCGAGCAAATGTCTTCTGAATTTTCTCTAATGTTTGTGTTGTGGTTGTGATGGACGGGGTTCCAAATTCAACTGCCTCCGTGGCCGAACGTTTACCATGCCATGCAGAGGTCCCAGGTTCGATTCCCGGACCGGGAGAAATGTTTGTATGGCTTACATTTATTTCTCTCGTGAGTTTGGGTGTAATTTGTGGTTGTCTATGTGTGTGTTCGTGGCACCCGCGACACAGGGTTTCCCTAGTGCGGGACTATGTTGAGTGTGTGCGTTTAAAAAAAAAATTATTTTATAAGCGTTACATTCCAATTTGCTCCGAACAAAAGAGTTATACAAAAGACACGATGTGAGGTTGCTTTTTAACGACTTTGATTGTCTTAAGGCGAAACCGAGACACTTGCGGGAAGATTTACAAATTTTTGTAAATCTTTATCGATTATTAACATCAATCGCTTTAATTGTACAGACGGGCTATCCATACAGTTAACTTTTTGCTAAGTTCATTAATAATCTACAATAGACAAGGCATATCGATAACAAAGTTGTTAACATCCCTAACTTTCACAAATCCTTTGTACAACTTTAATAAGACGGGTCTCCGCAGAGTGGATGTCGAAGACCAACTCGGATATTAGATCACGAAGTTTACTAAAAGACGCCAAGCATGAATTTTGATGTTCATTTTGTAAATATTCATAAGTTGTGTTGTGTGTTGTACACAAACAAATTCATTACACTGGGCTAAGTTTTTAAAAATTCAATTTCATTGTTTCAAAAGTTGGTAGCTATTTTAAAATGAAATATTCCAAACGACATTTTAAAAGTAATTAAGTCTACAGTTTAGCCATGGTAGCTTGATGGCTAGACCTACGCCTCTCATGTACAGGCCGTGAGTTCGAATCCGGGCTCGCACTTCTGAGTTTTTAGGAAACTATGTACGAAATTGAATTTGAAATGTACCGTGAGAAAACATGGTGATCAAACCTGGACGTCGAAGAAAGTTCACAATGCTCGGACAACGTGTGAAGTCCTCAACCCACATTGGGCAAGCGTGGCGGACTATGGCCTAAACCCTCGCCTGAGAGGAGACCCGTATCTAGCAGTGGGACGTATAATAATAATAAGAATAATAATAATATAGTATAATTATTTATTCAGACAACGCCATGATATGGTCCAATAGTGTATCTTACAAACTAACTTAAAAAACTACGTTAGTGACAAATAAAATAAAATAAAAGTACAAGTGAAATTATCTTATCAATTAGTCTCATATGAGTGTATTTGATCAGGACCCGAATGAAAGACTTCATCATAGGCAGGTCATATCTGTCAGGTATGACCTGTAGAATGCTGTTGCTGCTGCCCTGCAGTCTGCTCAGCATTGATTGATGATTGATGATGATGTCTACAGTGTATTTCTTTTAAATTGGAACGGTATTGGGAAATCCGAAAACATAAGAGATACAGGAAAACTGCCTCAGCAACCAGTAAGTCTTCTTTGTAAAAATAATTTTGGATTAGGCATTTATTTGGTCAAGCGAGAGTTATCCTAAAAAAGACATAAAATTTACTATTTTTAAAATGTTGATTGACTTAGTTTCTTATAAGTATGATTTTATTGTATAGGAAGAAAAAATAAAAAGTTTTTTTCATAGGTTTCCCCACACTATTCTAATTAAAAAGAAAACACATTCTATATCGCAGTGCACTGTTAAACATAGTTCTGTGCCTTGGCGTCAATTATATTTGCAAGTAAACAATAAATTTGAGTCTCTTGTAACTAAAATGTCTCGGTTAGCTAAATTAAAATTTAACTAAACAGTAACATTGCACCACAGCATAAGGCGTCTACTTTATATTGGAAACACTTAAGTATGTTTAGAAAGAATGCTTAGGTTTCAGCCTGAGTTTATTGCAAAATAGTATTTGAGACAACAACTTTAGGACCAAATGCAATAGTTTGTATACTGTGCTGCAGCTTATTAACATCGTTAGATGTCCCAAGTATACGGGCTCTTCTGATAAGAACATTTTAAGCCGAAGTCTAACCATACTACACACTTAGTAACAGTAGAGCTCCATGTGAAGGAGTTCCTCCAGAGAAGTACTGCTATCTTGCCTATTTCTGCCGCCAAGCAGTAATGTGAGCATTACTGCGTGCTGTGCCCCTAAGATCATTACGATTTAAGGCTCTGAATGGCACTGCAACTGTTATGGACAGCCGAGTCGTTTACCAACAGACTTGTTCATCTCGTCACTTGGTGTTATAAAAAAGAAGCCCTACAGGTAGAATATTTTGTGACAAAACTTTCTATATTTGCATATAAGAAATATTAATAATGTTTCAAGTTCAAACGATTGATTGATTTAAGACTTACCAGCGTAAATGATAGTACTAAGAAGTCCCTTCTCTTCTAAAGGCACCCATTGGCTGATAAGGTGGTGCATGCAGGGGTAGACGAACGCCTGTGTCAGTCCTTGCAAAACTCGACACGCACATACTAGCTTCCACCCACCCTAAAAAAGGATTATCAAATTTTACGTACTTCAATTTCCACTAAAGAACCTAAAATCATAGTATTACTTATAATACTATGATTTTAGGGTTGTCACATTATTGTTTTAGTTGTACCTTAAGGTGGCTAACATAACCTTAAAACACTTTTTTAATGACAGTATTGACTGATTCTTGCGCTATATTAACATAATCTTTGTTAAATGCAGTACTTACTTATGTATTGGTATTTCTGTACCAGTATAATATATATATTTATGTATATACTAAAAGATTCATCAAAACCTATGTTTGGAATACCGCTCTGTATGGATGTGAGACATGGACAGTAACAAAGAAAGACAAGAGAGAGATTGGAGTCATTTGAAATGTGGTGCTGGAGACAAATGAAAAAATAAAATGGATTGAAAAGAGATTAAGTGCAGATGTTTTGGAAAGGGTTGGGGAGGACAGAAATCTTTTTAATGCAATAGTGAGATGGCGGGGGAAAATATTGGACATTTGTTACGTAATAACGAATTTGTGAAAGTAAGAATTGAGGAGCGGATACGAGAGAAGGGAAAAGAAACACAGGAACACCAACAAAGTCGAACAAATAAAATACAAGTTCAAAGTGAACAGCTTTAAAGAGGTCAAAGGATTTGGCTATGATGAACCTTAAGGATCGAAGGAGGCTAAAGAGTCTGGCTCTTAAATAGATGATAAGAAGTATACTTATGAAATAAAAATAAAATGTAGAATCAATTCCTGAATTTAAATCACTCTTGTTCCAACTACCATAAACACAGCATGTCATATTAATATGTCATCAACATCAAGTCATTTTTTTAACACTGAGCGAACGATTTGCCCATGGGATACTTGTCTTATTTAATATATGTTACAAGCAAGAAGAGAACTAATTAGATCAAAACTGTGCTTACTATGGCAGCTCCATACGGCATAGCGAGTGACAACAGCGAATTGATGCTGATAGAGATAGTGATGAGGATCTTGCCTCCGAAGCGGCTGGCCAGCTCGCCGGCGGGGATTTGTAGGATCACGTAGCCCCAGAAAAAGGACGACAGGATCACGGCTTGGACGCTGTGGCTCCACGTGAAGTGCTGGAAGATACAAATGTCAACTTTATAACGTTTATTTTATTATGACTATCGTATCCTAAATTGAAGTCTGAGAGATTTAAAAGCGATTTCCCTACATCGCTTGTCACATGCCCCTGCATGTGGCATTATCGTGGCACTACAAGCTCTATTTGCATTTTTATCTCTAAAGTCAGTTTTAAGTTTCATCTGTCGAGTTATGTACATAAAAAAGCATTTACATTTTAATTAGAGAAGACTTCGTTGATGACGCTAGTTATTTTTGTGAATAATCCAATATGGCTTCAGTAATATAATTATAAAATTATAGTTTGAAATCTAAAAACCATCGGATTCGGATTCGTGGTAGAAGTTAAATTATAGCACTTTCAGAAATATATAAGATAATGTGACCTTACGCTAATTGGCAGAGGCTTTCACCGCACGATGGCAAGCGCTATAGTGTATGCCATCCATACAATTAGTCAAAGAAGATTGATGTATCATATCCTAGTCGTTACTTCAAGAATAGAAAATAAAAATTAACGTTTAATTAAAACATAAATGCCTCCATGCCTCTGTTGCCATGCTGGTGTGCCACGCAGAGGTCCCGGGTTCGATTCCCGGGCCGGGAGACATATTTGTATAGTCTACATTTATTTCTTTAGCGAAACCAGGGCATAATTTGTGATTGTATATATATGTCCATGACATCCGCGACACAGAGAAAAAAATATCAACGTGTATACTAAAAAGTTTGAAACAAACTCAAACTAAAACTCAATATTTACATTGCTCTCTTAAGTAAAATAGATGTTCCAATAATTTTAATAAAGAAGTAATGATTAATACTCGATAGTGATCATGTTTTTGCAGTCAGGTTTTAGATTTTTCACTTAGATTTTAATTTGTATTTTAATAGGGTAGCTAAATAGTCCATGCGGTGTGTTTTCTACTAACTTTATAAAAAAAAAATATTCTTTTTTTATTTCTTAGAAGGTTTATTCTTAATAGAATAAGCCACCTCCGTAAGAACACAGTAACACTCAAACACACTACATACAAATCAATACATAAATCTGCAAATTATTTTCATTTTACACATTTTTGTACCATGCGATAACTTTGGACGTAGGCTTGGTCAGTCTAGCTTTTGTGGGTTTTAGCCCAATAAATATGCACTATGAACTTTAATCAAATAGTAATAAGTAAAAAGAATTTATAATGTTAAATATAACGTTCGTTCCAGTGAAGCTCGCAATTGGATTCGTCCCACTAGTGGGCCGCACCCGTCCCCCGCGACCCCCACACCGCCGTCGTCAGCTAGCTTCGACTCGCGCCGGTTTGCGTCGGCAACAGCCAGTATGCTGTTACACATACCCACAGTTTGTATTGACAAGTTGAATCTGATGCTCAGCTGCAGCTTCAGCCTCTCAGCCTCGCTCCGGACACTCTCCACGAGAACATGGTATACGTCAACTTATTTCTTTTATATTGTAAATAAAAACATGATAATTATTGTCTATGGAATTGTCTCGTTTTTTTGTTGCAAAGGAGGTACCTCAATAGTGGTTCCATTCAAATTTGAAGAAAATATTCCACCACTAAGGGCGGCAAATTAGGGGATGAGTCCGGTTTATTGGATTTCAATTTCCGTTAACCGATTTCCGAAAACTTGGCACATAGATGTAATTCCAATAGAAATAAAATACAGGGAATACGAATAAGTAGAGCCCACGTAGAGCCCCTTGTGAAAGGGTCCGTCCAGGGAAGTACTGCCAGCAAACCTATTTCTGCCACTAAGCAGTAAAGTAAAAATGTGAGCATTACTGCGTTCCGGTTTTAAAGGGCTGCTGAAATTACAGATACATGGGACTTGTTAAATTATGTCTCATGGTGACGGGCGCAGTGCCCCTCAGATCTTTGCAATTCAAAGCTTTGAGTGGCCCTGTAACTGTTATGGACAGGCACGTCGCTTGCCACCAGGTGCCAGACTGGTTCGTCCCGGCACTGAGTATCATAAAAAAATGCACAGACTTTTTGGCCACATTGTCGTGTATTTAAAACGCATACACAAGACACTTATCAAGTTTGAACTCGAGATCAGGACAACATAACTTAAATATAAACCAAAAAAATTATAAGTGAGCAATCACGTTTGACCTCAAATTAATCTACAATTAAATTTAACGCCTTCTTTATCATCACTTGGGCAATCGCTTTTATTTGACCTCGCTATACTAGAGAGCGGTTGATAATATTTTTTTTTGTTCCAGAATAAATTAACGTGTATGATTGGAGCGATTGTAAGAAGTGATAGATTTATGTCGGGAACGTGAGAATTCGGAGTTTTTGCATGGTGCAGCGCACACGTTGAGTTTAGATTTGAGTTTCTTTTAATGCTCACCGCTAGACCACCTTGAAAGAGGAGTGTAGGAGCGATTTCTGGTAAAACAATTTCCAATCTATATTTGTTGTCAGTATTCTGGGTAGTCCCTAGAGTTAATATCACTACTCTGACACTCGTAGTACACAGAATAGGACTAGGTTAGATTAGATTAAGACTAGGTAATCATCTTTTGTCGTTTTAGACGTGATTGTCTTTCAGTCATTCCCAGTCCAATTTAACCCAATGCGGGGTATAGATGTTCCGTAGTTTGCGACATCCACCACGCCCATGAAACACATCATCGACATCTCGTCTATTAATGCCGCTGCAGGGCGTACCACGTTTCTGTAATCGTTATACTCCAACTGTTATCACCACGTGTGGTAAAATGTGCCGCCAACATCCATTTTAGCTTCGTCATCCAATCTTCCTTGAAAAAACCTTATAATAATAATAATATAATAATAAATAATTTATTTTGACCAACATGGATCATAACATTACAAAGATTTAATACAATTAAACTCAAAATTAAAATAAATAATAATAAAATTACATTACAGTTAGAATACGATTTTAGATTTAGTCAATAGATGCACCATGTTACGTTGGTTCATATATTGACAGTCAAAGCGTTCAGCAAATGTGTTTAGGATACTGTTGCGGCTGACCCGCACCCTCCGCACCAGTGATGTCCACCGCTTGTGCATGATTGCATGGAAGCAATCTACGCGCGCTTCAGCAAACATCCCCGATGCGCTGCAGAAGCGAGGCAGCCCCAACAGCACCCTAAATGCATTATTGTACTGGACACGTAGCGCGTTGTATTGTTTTAACTTCACCCACAGACTACTAGTACAGAAGGACGTACAAAATGCCCTGAAGACGGTGATCTTGAACATCGAGCAAATCTGAGAGCATCATATTAGCTCTAACAGACAACTCTCTATGCTCCCTCTCCATGTCAGTATCGTCCTCCAGGTTCGAAGTTACAAAATGTCCAAGATACTTTAACATTTCCTGTCTATTTAGGGTACACCCGTAAAGTTTAATAGATGGTATTTTATCTAGACACCCTCCCCGAGGCTGGAAGACCATGCATTCACTTTTTTTTCACATTATATAGCAAACCGTGACTGTTAGCATACTTTTCACAGATGCGAAGCAGCTTCGACAAGCCGCAGACAGAAGCACTCAGCAGCACTATATCGTCCTTATGCTGGCATATTATTAATGTTATAAACAAAACCATTTTGTCATAACAGTGAAAGGACGCTCAACATAAGCCCAAGTTCCCTAAAGCGATGGCTTTTAATATCAACGAAAACCTGCACCAACAAATAAGTAAACGTAATAAGGAAAATGTACATAAATTTACATATATTAAGCATATTCCACAAAGTTGATTTTAAAAGAGTGCGTAATTAATTTTGTTATTGTTTTCAAAATGTTCCACTCCTAATGCATCGTAATATATTTATGACATTGTTGACGTCGTTTCATAGATATAAAGATTTGCACAGTTAATATTATTTTTAGAATACCGTTCCTTGTTCATCGTCATGAAGTCATTTTACCCCAGTATTGGATCTCATCTAAGAAGGCGTAAAGCGACTAGTCCAAGCATAGAAATAAACGGAGAACAGTTAGACCTTGTTAATAAAGCAGTCTTCTTATGAGTGACCTTAGATAGTAAACTTTTACTTTTACTTTTTTTAGTAAAAGTTTCCACATAGATCTTCCCTGGCCAGCAGATTAAGCTCCGCTGCATACTCAGTCCGCAGAACGTGAGCTTACCGATGTTAGTACTGCTAGACTAGTTTACATTAGTTACTCCCATAGTATAATGTCCTACGGGATTCTCATGTGGTGTAAAGCGGCAAATATTCAAACCATATTTGTATTGCAAAAACGAGCGATTCGTTCTGTGTACCGTCTAGGCTCTCGGGTTTCTCTCAGAGGAAAGTTTAAAGAGACTGGTATCACATCGCATTTGTGAGTGTTGAGAGTTGTCAGTGGCACCACAGTACATTTAGTTAAATATTTTATATGCCCGTAAAGATATACATAATTTCAATAAGAAAGAAGATGTACATAATATTAACCTTAGAGCTAAGTCCAAACTCATGGTACCTTTTAAATGACTCTTTTATGGGGAACTGTATACGTTTTTACAATAAGATTCCGGAATAATTATATCAATATTATCATTTCCTAAGTTTAAAAACCACATTAAAAATATTTTGATCGAAAAGTCATATTACAAAATTGAAGACTACGTGTTAGATAGAGATGTGTGGAAAGACAACACGGCTCCAGAATCCACACAAATTTGATTCAAAGTGTATTTTCCATAGCATGTAAGTTTATTTGAAAAGAGCAATCCCTAGAGTTTCTTGCTCGTTCTTCTCAGGGAAGTCAGCGTAGTGAACGAGCACTACCTTAAATGAGACATTTTCAAGTGCAAATCTTACATATGGAATAAATGATTCTTTGACTTTGACTTTGAAGAGAACTTAGGCAACAATCTGCCACGCTGGCCCAATGCGGGGTTGCAAACTTCACACGTTTTTCAGGGGTTGAGAGCAATCTTCGACATAAAGGCTTCATCACATTGTTTTAACCCCTCAATTGA